AGAAATTGTCTTCCTTTTTAACAGTTCAGTAAAAAAAAAAAAAAACCTCAATCTTACAGTACTGTACTGTACAGTGTGCAGTACTGTAGAAGTCCATTCTGGTAATGTACTGTAAATAACGTACAGTACTGTACCGCACAGTAACTCTATTACAGCACTGGACAGTGTACACTGTACAGTACAGTATAATACAGGCTCATGCAGTACTGTATTGTACAGTACTGTTGATTCTCAGTTTCTCACCACTTTGAGTATGTTATTACGCTGCTAAAAGTTGAACTTTGGCCTTCTGGGTGTCGTGAAGATAGCTAGATGAAACAGTATGATACCACAACATACTGTAGCTAATTTGTATTACTACTGTACAGTATAGCATATTACGATGTTATACTGTGCTAAGTTTGGGAATATTTCGCATATTACGATGTTATACAGTACTGCATGAGATGTTACAAAAATGACTACGAGACCATTTTAGATTATACAACGTACAGTACAGTAAGAACTCGTTGGACAGCTTGTGCTAAGTTTGGGAATATTTCGCGCGCAGAACTGTACTGTACAGTACAGTACGTACACAGTATACAGTACAGTACAGTATGTTGTTCGAGAGTAGTACTGTACTGTACATACTGTACGAACCTTCAATACGATTGTTAGTATTAACTCTACAGTACTGTACCGTAGATAGTAATACTTAACACACTGTACTGTACAACTGTACTACTGTACTGTAAATGGATCGGAACGAAACTTAAACTTCTGGCTCTGATGTACTGTACAGTGTACAGTACAGTAACTACAGTAATGTTAATGTACTGTACAGTACTAACCACAAGTCAGTTGATAGTTTCTCTTTTTAATAATAAATTACTAAAGTAAGAATACGCCTTGCTGACAGTACTGTACTGTACTGTACAGTACTGTATAGGTGTTACTAGCTACTATAAAAAAGGCATGCCACGATGAAACTAGAAACCAGTCTCTGGACTAAATCTTAAAAGGTACGGAAAGATTTAGTAGTCCATGCCAGTATACTGTACACTACACTGTACTGTAAAGTACTAGATCAGATTCTAGATTCGATTTTATTTTGTCGTGTTTTGGGATCTAGTCGTTAACGCTGGTGGCTAAATTTTTTGAATGGTCTAGTTCTAATGTTCTATACAGTTTATGATGTCGTCAACTTCGCCGCATCTACCTGATCTACGTCAGAAACTCCTAAGCAAATGTGCTACAGGAAAATGTGATGCTGAGTCCTACGAATTCGCCAAGCAGTTACTCAATACAGAAGTTGATGTTTCGTATTTTATCGTCAATTTAAAGCGTTACATCCGATTGAATCAGGTATACTATACGTAAACATCACGGCACTGAAGGCCATCGATACAAACAAATATAAGAGTAAAGTAATTCATACTACTGCATCCTGAATTAATCCTCATATACAGTGTAGCAAATTGGTTATACTCGTATGCTTAATCGCTTATATTATCCTAAGGTACAAGTAGAGTTTCATATACAAAACAAGCTTCATAATTAAATCATACCGTATACATGGACTGTGTGTGCTACAGTTAGTCTTATTGCAAATCAGTGTAATGGTAGTATTCGGGTATACCCGTATATACGGTAGTATGCATCGTTAACAGTCTCGTGCATCTCCATCATTTTCAAACTCAATAACAAAATAGATCGACAACAGCACTGATATTCTCTCTATATGACTCTATATTTACGGATAAGTGACATTTTTTTATTCTGGATAAGATTAGAAATTAAATTCAATTAAATTGAATTGGTCTAACAGATTTTTTTACTATCTGCTCTTATAACAGCATCAAAACAACTTCTTGAATATCATGATAGTTGCCATGTACTTCTTATCAAAATACGCTTCTAATTTGCTAAATGCTGGCGATAACACTATCTGGAGAACAATCCACTTGTCTAATAAAGTGTTTCAAGAAAAAGTTTATCCTATGCATGGAGCAACGCAAATATTAAGTTTTATGGGTTACACGGAAAGTACTTCCGGTTCCATGAAATTTCCTTCAAATGTATTACTGCCTGATTATTCAAAAGTGGCGAAAATTTTAATGGATTTGATTGTAGGCATGGTCGAATTAAAGCAATTAGTTGATTATCCGAATCCTGATCTACTAACAAATCAGGTATTAACGTATACTGTAGTATTATTGACACCTATTATGGATTTTGGATAGTAAAGCCAGTTCATGATACTCTATGGTAGTACTGAGTAATTTACTTGTTTATTAATAATAAAAATAATGTATAGGTGTACTTTATGATGTGTAGATTCGGCTTTAAATGTTATCACTGTTCATCCATTTCATAGCAATTTTACATACATATCGAGCCTTGATTACTACTAAATAACTTCGCGAAGTTTAATTTTAAGCTATTTCTTTTAATCAACTATTGATACTATATTACTACAAGATACAGCAGATTCAGATATCCTATTGTGATTAATTAAATTAAGTACTTTGATAACGTCTGAGCGATGATGATGTACTGTAGCTTGCTATCTCGAGTCATGCACCTTATAGTAGGAATTAGTGATTTTTATATTTAGTTATAACGCGACATTGAAGGATATACCAGCATTTGTAACTCTAGATAGGCTTATATTTGCTCGTAGGCTAAAGTATAAAAATTGAATTCTAATAACATCCTGCAGAACAGATACATGCTCACATCTGCTGCATCAGCAAACACTAAAGTCTCACGAACAGCTCGAAAGTAGGAAAGATAAAGTGACTGTACAGTATTTATTTCATTTGGACGTCCGATAAATAGTTAATTAACTATAAAATTTAGTAGTAAATATTACACTATATTCTGACAATGAATGCATCCGCTATGGCATAAACTGTGTACTGTAGAATTTGTAAAGTTATGAAAACGATGTTAATTGGCACTTTTGCTTGTTTATCATTCTTTAGACAAAATCGAAAGAAAGTGTATCTGCCAATAAATCTAAAGAAGGTAACACCTTTCACTTACCTCTTTCGACTAGAAATGTTGATAATATAGTTGCAACACGTTTAATAAATTAGTTTACAGTTAGTTCAAGGAAGCATTAATCAATAAATGTATTTACTGGCATATAAACAGTAACTATAGATATTTCCTACTAATAATCTTCGGCGCTAATTCACTGAAAAAATTTATCTTTCTTTGTGCATGTATCCACTGTCATGCTATTTAATAATTGCGCCCACAACTGATAGCATCACTTGAACGATACTCGCATTACTAGGCATTATTCAGTAAATCTGTTATATTCTAAATTTTGCTGTACACCTGCAGGTGTACCAAATGAATCTCATCAAAATTCATCCGTTACACAAAAGAATCAATCTGTTGCGAGTACGCAATGTTTATCGAAGCCACCTGTTTTAGCAACAGCTCAATCTATCCAGGTAAGATACTAAATCCAAGTAAATTGCGATATTTGAGATATTTTTAAATCAGCCTTGGAATCACTTAGGATGATATAGCATAAACTGAGGAAACACAAGTTATAGCAACTTAAAAATTATAGCTAAATGTATCTGCTACATGCAGTATAGTTATACATACACTCAATTCTATTTTTATTCTACCTAGGATAAACTTATAATGGAAAAACTACGTGCTGCTTTTGTTGATCTTTTACACATGGATGAAAGAATTGATGTTGGCTTAAAATTAATCAATTTCGGATATTCAGATGAAATTGCAATAACAGCCGCCAAGTCCTGCACTGATATACAAAGTGCACTAGATTTTTTAGACCGCCAATGTGTTATTTGCTTTGATACATTTCCTGCGAATGAGGTAAATATTTTAAAATTTTATGCTCTCCTATTCTAGCCTGCTAACAATGCTAGCTTTATAAATATATCGAATACTTGCTTATTGAATAATCTTTGGCCTTTTAACTGCGTCAGTACGTAACATAATTATTAATGACTACTATTTGTTAACCAAAAATCCATCCTAAGCAGCCAACAAAGTAAAACAGGTTGCACAGTTGCGGATTAAGTTAATAGCTACAACGTGTGCGGCTTCCTTTACTATTTGGTTTCTTATTTTTCGGCTATTGATGAACCATGCCGTATACATTCTTTCCGATTCTGACCCTATGACCAGTTTATGTTACCTTAAAATCCAGTGTTTTTCAGTAAAGAATGATAGTAGACCTGGCCACAGTTATTTTCCATACTGTATGTATATTAGGTACCGACATAAGCAAAAATTATGTCATATACAGTATACTATTAAGTGCTAGCTTGTTTAATTTTATTTTAGACTGTAGCAAAGGTTTACTTATTAATAGATGAGAATTAAGTAATAAGCGTCTACCAATAAAAGGATACTAATTATAAACTCTGAGAATTGTATGCATTACAACATTAGCTTTCATATTAGTTAATTAATACAATGCTGATTTACCATTTTCTCACCTAATCTTTTAATAGGTGCTAAATTTTTCTGTCTGCCGACACGAATTTTGCAAAGATTGTTTATCGAAATTTATTGAATCTACGGTTAAAGAGAATAGTATCTTAAAGCTTAATTGCCCAGTATGCCAAATGCCAGATCTATCTATGGCTTCAGGAGAATATTTTAGCGTAGTTGACCAAATGGTGAGACACGATACGCTTGATATTAAATACATAAATACAGTAACAATACGTAGGAGATTTATTTGCCTTATTAAGTTTCTCTTATTCTGATACTGTAATGGGTTTTATGTAGGTTCGAAATCTGGTTAAAGATGGATATCTAGCGAAAGAAATATATGAATTATACGATATGAAGCTTAGAGATTATAATCTACATCAAGATCCACTATTTTTATGGTGTCCTCACGTACGTTCGTTACTATAATATTCATTATCTTTTTAATTTATTATAATATACTTATAAGAATTTCATACCTCTTCTAATAAAAAAGCAGTTATTAAAGTTGCATATGCTGTGTGATTATCATTAGATTTTTTGGCGACATAGAATATAAAATTCCCTAGCGATCGTTAACTTACTATTAATATATTGTGGCCTTAATCTACCGTTTTATTACTAATAATTGGTATTTTTATACATAATTTGCTTGTTTGGTTTATGTACATGAAAAGCAATTAGATGACCACTTAAGTAGAGTTAATTTCGAAATGAAGCTTAAATATGTGAAAGCTACTCGAATCTAATCTATATAAAATATCAACTTTGGAAATCTATGAATTTAGTGCTAGTCCGAGCTAATAATAGAAATTGCTTAATTTTGTAACAGTGCTCGAATGGTTTTGAGAGAGATCCCTTTTCTCCACTTAAAGTTCAATGTAATTTGTGTCTCAAATTTACATGTTATAAATGCCGTATCAAGGTTGGAGAACTTATTTTAAGCTCTATGTCAACTTTATAATGTATTTGCTGTATATCTTATGTAAAGATCCTGTAATCGACGTAACTTTATTAGAGTTAACGTTTAACATTTACGCCTAGTTGTAGACTGAATACAAGTAACATCTTTTATCTGAAGGGTACAGTACATAAATATTATTAGCACGCAGTTAAGTAATGTTACTGCAGTAGTGAAACTGTGAGAGTATTATACTTCGATTAAATGATTTAGTATAGAGTTCCTTCATTATTAGTATATAAAATATTGCACTAGTTTGAATAGATATAACAATGTTGATAAGTTCTGTAATAAAAATTAATCTAGTGGAATAAACTACATGATGACGTAAACTGCGAAGATTACCGGAAAAGGCTATCTGAAAAGAAGAATGAGGAAGAGCTTCTATCCATTTTGAATGATCTAGAGAAAACTGGATTGCGTACGTCTATAAATCGTATTTGTAATTTATTGATGTCCTACGTTAATATTAATATAATTAGTATACTTTAACAATTAAATTTTTAAATTTCCGTTGATACGTTATCAATATTATAATATTGTTACCATCATTTCTAAGAATTAGCCATTCTGTAGGAATGTCTGTCAATTCGGTCATTCCTTAGATTAACATTAACCACATCAATGGAATGAGTTCACCTAGTATACAGTATATTAGCTAATTTCTTGTACTAAATTGGTATAAAAGATGGTTGTAAATTAAAATTTATTATTAATTATGATGCTATTTGTAATTTCATACAAATTCAGAATGTCCTTCTTGTAACTGTAAATTTGAGCATGCCAAAGGTGGTTGTATGCATATGACATGCTCAAATTGTACGTTTCAGTTCTGTTGCGGATGTGAGCATCAATTTTATGAAAATTCGAAGGTATGGACTGTTATGTTAACTAATTTTTTATTGATCTATCTATGAATAATATATTTTTAATGTGAACATGTGTCCTTGTAAGTAATCGATACGTGATCGGTGGTTATTTTTACTTATAAGTATGTAGAAGTTAGAATAGTAATAATCACAATAAAAATTTTATTTTATTAATTATTGGTACTACATATATTCAGCAGTATACCGCACATTATGTATCTCATAGAGCAAATCATTTTTTTGTTACTGTGTTTGCAAGCACAACGTGTGATATTATTTATTATATGTTGCACTAATATTAATATATTTCGATAATTGATTGATATTTAGAATGTGTCAACTTTTAAAATCTTCTTGATTTGTATCCTTAAAAATTAGTCGTGCCAATTTCTGAACTGTCGTATAGATGGATTACATGCCCACCATCCGCGTAATTGCCTGTACTATTTACGTGATTGGAGTGTTGATCGATTACAAAAGTTGCTAAGGGAAAATAACAAAGAATTTGATACTTCAATGCCATCTGATCACGACGGTATTATAAAATGCAGATAACATAACTTAAACACAGCATTTCTTATACTTTATAGTAATGTATTGTTCACTTACTATCGCTTTTTTCTGTAATGCAACAAGACTCGAACAAAGTAGTTATGATATCGTAATGGCAATCTATGCCTTAGCGCTTTATAATTATGTGTAATGCCATACACTAATATAGCACATTTAAAGCTGTATCTAATCCACAGTTGGACTTATGGCTTATATAGGCAGATGTCATATTATAGAATTGAAAGAAAAAGAAGATAGTGCTACGATTGAAACGGAAGAGAGAGAGTGTAATCGGGAAGCTCCAGTAGGATATCGAGGTGTTTGCATGTAAGTTTTCTGACTGTGCATATTCGTGATACGAGTGAATTTATGGTAAAATATTCGTATAAATTTTGATGAAACATCCTCACTGTATGTTATGTAAATCCCACAATATTATATTAGAATTAATTTTTCGAAAAATATAGATATAGATAATATACTTTGATAATTACTTTATCTGTATCTGTAAAATTAGTTGTTTACTGCATTTTATAATTAAATTTATTATCGATATTATTGATAGCTGTGTGCTAATAAATAAATATATAATCGGAATGATTTTTTGAAAAGCTGTATTTATTTTTCTACATTCAATTTTATGTACAATAAGTATTACCATTATCATGTATAGCGAAATTATTGTTTTCTTTTTTTAACATTATGGCACTACCCATCTTTTAGGAAGCATTTTAAAGAATATTTGGTTGAGTTGATTCGTCTTTACCAGTTGGACCCCGCGGATTTGTATGACATAAATGAATTGATAACAACTCTTTCAAGATATGGAATTTCTTACCCATCCGAAAGCAACGATAAGAAAGATTACATGGAAAAATTGCGAATGGTATGTTATAGGATGGCCGTGGCCATAATTAAATCTTGCCTGAAAGTTTTTTACGTTGCATAAGAATTCCAATTTGCTAATCTATGTTTTTGATATCCTTTTTGATGGATATTCTTACTATTTACAATTAAAAACATCTATATTGTTATCATCTAATAGATAATAAGAAAAGACCTTGCGCTATCAGCAGTGAAGAAATGACAGCGAAATCATGCTTGAAATACTTCGAATCGAGTTATAGGGATATGCCTTGGTTGTAATGTACAATAATGAATTGATAGTCATTGTGTAAATGTTTCGATTACAGTACTTGAATCCGGTTTTATCATCAGCATCTTACATAGACGTAAAGCAAGGTGATAGCGTATACACATGCTAATTGTAACAATTTCATATCCATAGCATAAGATGATTTAATAGTAATCATACCTATATGGAGACATATTATATAGTCTAAATTTCGTAATCGTTACATACTGTAAATGTTTGAAGCAAAAATAATAATATCTTATATCTAGAATGATGTATTTGTATATTTTTCTACGTGCTATTTAAAAATTGCTAGAAATATTTGTTAACACATTTTCAAAATGTACTAAAACCTAACTCAAGGTTGCTATATCGACTATTCTGAGCTAATACATAGATAAATGACCCCATGGTAGATATGCTGTTAAATAGCGATCACGTGTACCAGATGATCCTTTTTTTTCTTGAATTGGTAATATGTTTTGCATAACCACTATACGGTGTACGCAGTATATTTGTTCTATATATTAGCAGCAATGCATCATGATGTTAACTGATTCTATTACGAAGCGTATTCCAGGGAATAAAATTTCTTATCCGTTTTAAAATATGTGTTACTAATACCATTGGAGGTAAGTTTAAATTATCTAGCCTTTTATGCCAAAGAGCCAGCAAAAATAGAAGATTTTTCTATTACAAATATCAAAAGGCATAAAATGCTATCAAATTTACTTTTAAAATTACATCAGCTGCATTTGATTAGATTATACTCGGATATAGCAACTAGAGACATAAAAAAAACAAATTTGATATTCCTTAACGATCTAAGTAGTTCCATAGGAGTAGATCTTTTATTTATGACCATATTGATTTATAATAATTTAATAATACATGATGACAAAATTACAATTCTTTATTATTTGGCTCATTAATAATTATAATGTACAAATGATGAAATTGCGACAAAATGAAGAAAATAGTACACTATATAACAAATTTTTAAAAATTAACCTTATTAAGGCTACATCTTGCTTAAAATGAAATAATTTTTGCATAAAATTCAGATATTAAAATCAAGAACTCTAACCCAAAGCGCACTAAAAAAATGCGTGTATCTACTGAGAGGATATTAATTAGCTTTTATATATCGAAAGTAGAATGTGTTCTTTCTACATTACTAGAAAAATCCAGACATAATGAATCATCACACTATACGTATTCTAACTTGTAGCAGTCAAATGTAATGCAGCAGTAGAGTATCAATTAAGGATAATAAATATTCTCATTGTTAATACTCGTTTATACAGATTTAAATATAATTAATACAGTAACTACAATATGTAATAGTACAGTAGCACGAGCGCGATAAATATAACATAGTATTTAACAATGGTGCATTAATGGTGCATTACTTGTAAGCAGCGCGTTAGTTGTAATTATTTCGAAAATGGTCTACTACAATTATGTATTCAATCTCTTCGGTTATTTTAATGTTTAATAAGCAATTCAAGTATCCATATATTAAGGGAAAATCAAGATACACTAAGAATATTTCCAACTCTTGTTATCTTACATTTTATCGTATTTACATCAAGTATTAATGAAAGTTATGACTAAGATCTTAGTCAGATACTCCAGGCTTTGTGAGTTTTGCGCAAAGTCCGTTGGAATTCAATGAAAAATATTGAACTAAATCATCCAAAGAAATAAATTCAATATATTTACGAGCAATAATTAGGCTATCCTGTTGCAATTCTGGCAATCGAAAGTGAAGAATGTCATCATTTTCTTTCACTGATAAGGCAAATTCTCCCTTATAACTTTCACTCTTTCTAATCAAAAATAGATTGCATCCATCTACACTTTCCGATAGCAGTAATTTTTCAGCATCAGCTCTTTTCATCTCTCCATAATAGTATCTGAAATTAATAATTTGTAATATTAGCCGCATAACCACGACTGTCCCAGTATGTGACAGCGCTATATGACATAATACGTAGGTTACGGTAGATATATTATAACAGCGTGTAATATTACGGACTCATAGAAAACAAGGGCTTCTTGTAGTCTGCTATTGCGATTGTATAGGATACTACAGGTATGATATCTTTTTTCACGTAAGAACTACACGATAAAGTCTATTATAAATTCTTTACCAGGTAGGTTAGGACACAGAAACCAATATTTATACTTAACCTTAATGAAGACTATATCTAAAAAAGTATTCTCATTAGACTGGTCAATGACTACCATAATGGGAGTAACCAATAAGTATTCACGCAGCACGTATGAGCTGTTATTGTAATTGAATTACGAGCAATTTGATGATACGAGCATAGAATTTAATTTTTTACTCACGGTTGGAACAGAAGATCATTTATTGTTAGATCATCATCGACATCATTATTCTTAAATTGTGATACTTGACGTTTGATCCTTTCCTTGCCACTTGAATCAACGCACGGTTTAAGTCCATTATTGTCGTCCACGTAGTAAGTTACTAGCGATAATAATGACGGAAACGTAACCCTTACACTAATTAAAAAGTGGCCAGAACACAAGCGACGAATTAAATAATGGCAAATTCGCTTTCCATCTTTAACAGATAGACTAAAATCACCAAGGTATGTGTCACTTGGACGAACAGCAAATGAACCTTGCTGATTAACTTTTTTATATAACATTTTATCAATATCTCCTCGTGAAAGGCCTGTAAAGAACCATCTAGATTTTCAATCGAGCAAAAAGAAGTTAGAGCTTACAATCCTTGTAATATGTAATTAGTCAAGTTACAGTATAATCGTCGTCATATAATTATGAATCAATATCTAGCAATATAAACGTAAGTAAAATAAAATTTCTAAGAACTAAATTGAATCGTAAAAGTTTTCTTTGTTACTCGTGATACTGATGAAAACATTGATGTTGGTCATTAATCATATCCCATATATATTGCTATTTGATAAGTCAGGTCAATGATGGTGGTACTAGAAAAGGCGTCCATGCAGTGTTCAATACTTTATCGCTTTTAGGTTATAGGATAAGTAAAAAATGAATTAGTAACGCCCCAAAAATGACAATACAGTCCTAATTTTTCTGCAACACATACTGTACAGTGTACACTGTGTACAGTATGATGCGTTCTGCATCGCCAGTATTGTAATCCGTCGAAAAAATACAATAATAACCAGTAAGAATAGTGAAATTTAATGCGATGTAAACATTATTCACTAAAGTCGTGGATGTTTACTACTGTTTACTTATATTTATATATATACGAGTATATTGGTTCACTATTACAGTACTGCATCAACAATAATGTTACGGCATACTGTACACAGTACAGTGTACGGTATATGTCAATGCTTGTATACGATGTCTAAACATACAAGTCTCAGATATTATTCAACATAAGGTACTTTGTACCAGTAACGTAAGGAGAACTACTTTTTCTTTAAACGAGCTATATAAGTTTGGGGATAAATATGAAATTAATTTGCCAATAGAGCCTATGCCCTAATTCACCTACGTAATAATATACTGTAGATACTGTAGAGCATAATGAAAAAAGATTAAATGGGAGGGCAAAATATGATACCCATCAAATTGATCCTGATAATCATATACGTATAATGAAGCCATATCTGGCTGAAAGATTTGTAATTCGTATTATCATATTACTATTACAATTGAAAACTTTAAAATGTGCGAGACATCACAGACTGCGATAGAATACCGTATTTACAAAACTATAAAAGTGATTATGAAGAGTTTCTTATTGCACTAGTGTATATATAGCGATGATACGTACAGTATAAGTCTTTCGACAAAATTTAGAGTTTTTCATATGGATGATCGCAATTAAATTCAGACTAGAATCATAAATCCGTGAATAAACCGTACAAATGGACAAATACAATAGATATTAACATTTTTGAAGTTTGGGTAGTACATTAAGTACTGTATGTTAAGATAAAAATTTTTTGCCAGATAAAAGCAAAACAATCAGGACAAGTTTGTAATAGAACAATCTAGGTTAGATGTAAGTTTTATATCGATAATTGCTGGAATGAAAATCACCCGTGTTATCACTGTACGAGCGTCGTACAGTACTTACTGTACTGTACACAGTACGTATAATGGGCCTACGGTAATTTGCGAGCACATAAAATATTTTGGATAAGATTATACACGTAAATTATTGCGTTGCTGTGTTTGTAACCACATTACTTTAGCCATCATTTCTTTTTCTTTTTTAAATTCTTTACATTACAATTAAGTGTCTATATTATTAAAACACATTAGGGCTATCGCGAGTCGATTGTAATCATATATCATATACGCGTATATATATATATATTCGTCCAGTTAGCAACATTACTATCGAATCATAAACTTTCTAATAAGATCAAGTCTTTCTGATGAGAGTATCTAAGTTGATATACAAGTATACTTATCATGTACGAGTGCAGGATCAAGCAATGGCATACTGTACATTAAAACTACTAACGACCCATCATTGATTATTTATTATTCCCTTGTAGATCGAGGTTACTGTACTAATATCAATACGTACGTCAACATTGCATTAGCATACGTCTTCTACAATTTTAATAACTTATCTACTGTACTATTACTAGGAATATTATCTAGATTTCTGAAATGTCTACCAAGATAATTTGAGGCCTATTCGTGAAAATTCTTTTACATCGAAATCAAAGCAGTCAACACAACTTGAAAGTTGTGTCCTATCTAAGCTATTGTAGTTGAAATTACACTGTGTTAGAGGGAGAGATATGCATCGGTAGTAATATTTAATGCTGTTCTGCATGAGAGATTGAGATAGCCATTATTCCTCATAAAACATTAATCATAATTAATTGATCACTGTCCTCTAAATATCCAATACGACATATACAAAGAGCACTAGGGTATCTTACGGTTGATCTTGCAAGTGGCTGACACTGATATGATTATACGGTGGCGGTAAATTTTTGACATGATCATTGACCTCTTCCCTAACAACTTGAGCAATTTCTTCTTTGTGGTTATTTTTCAACCTTTCCGGTGCATGACTACAGTAGTCCTGATCATTAGTTGAATTTTTACGATCGTTGATAAGTGGAACAGTTTGCTCACTTTTGCGGGTCTTTGGCTTGCCGTAACTTAAGACATTTGATAGAAATGATCTAAATCTATCTCTGCCATTGGAACCGCCTTCCGGTAGATCACGATTAAAGAAAAGTAATTTCTTGGTATATTTTTCTTCAGCTTTTTCGGCTACTTCGTAAATGTCGACGCTTATTTCATCATCGTCAACGTCTGCGTACAGATCCAATCTATCTTCATCTCCGGTTGATGGTGAGTTTCCCATAATTATATATATCCACGTTCTATGATGTCGAATCAATTCTAGACGGATTGATTTTTAACTAAGTATAATACTGTAGTTAGTTATTTCGGAGCGAAACCTTTAACTGGAGAATCTACACGCATACAGGCAAGTTATTTTGTTCAACTGGTCACTAGTCAGTAGGTTAGTAGAGTACGCTTGGATACTACTGAATACGCTATTTATGCATCTGGATACAGTATAATATACCGTCGATGTTTTTTACTTCTGTACAGTACAGTATGAACCAGATACAGATGTACAGTACAGTACAATGTTACTATCACTGACTCCTTTTTTACTAGTACTGTACTGTAGGTCCGCGCTCGCTATACTGTACTGTACTGTACTGTACAGTACTGTACTGACAAGTTCTACAGTACAGTACTGTACAGCACGGTACAGTATTGTACTGTATTCTACCTTGTACAATGTACTGTAAATCCTTACTATTTGTAAACTTTGGAAATTTATAGACTAGAATACAGCGTTAGTTACTTACCACTTTAGTTAAAGTTAGTCAAAGTTTTAGCAGAATACTCGACATTTTGTCGACAGTAAATACTTACTGTGCATAAGAAGAAGTAAAATAAAGCCAAAATGATAGTAATTTCTATTTTACTAGCTATAGCAAGTCGCTTATTGCTATTTCAATCGGACATTTTAAGTAAATTGATGATCAATATTGCTATCAACACACCTATTACTTCATGGAATCGAGGTAACGTAAACTATTCGCCGTATGATCATGTTTAGCTAACTTTAATGCTTAATAAGATTGAGTATTACTAAAGTATAAAAGAAGTCACAGATATTTATTGCACTGATTTATACCTGCAGTATTATGTAATCATACACAGTATTTAAAACAACATACAGTACAGTACTGTAATTGAAATGATTTACGGCTGGCAATCCAAAAAAGCTTTCTCCAATAACTTTAGCTGGCAACAGTAGAAGCCTGCAATTTCACATTTCTTTACAAAACTTTGTTTGCGAGAGCACCTCGGAAACACGAAGTTCGCTGATAATAAGAAGCTTATACGGTGTATTACTAAATGCACCCTCAAGTGATGCCACCTTGAAGGATCATATCATTTTTTGACTATCGTAACTATCATTTAGCGTTTTGCTGAAACTGTTAATAGATGGAAGGTGTGCAATCACAGCAGTAACTACGATTTAGAGCAGTAGTGTCGAACTATAAACTCTCTCTTGCACTCGAATTCTACACGTATAAAATTCGTAAGATATAATGTTACTATACTGTAAAACATGTAGGATGGCAATGGACTAATATACTACGCTTAAGAAGTAGCTGAAAGAACTTACTCTCAAAATCTCATAGTATAGTTAATTAATTAATATATATAGTAAGCTAGATCGTAAGTTCATTAAAATTGGCATGAGTAGATGACAATGCATACATTAATTCGGCTTTTTTTATTGAGTATCTCTAAAAAGGCCACAGAGGAGAAATTCATTATAATCACTCTATTTTGTTTCGATCGTACTCGCAATCTGATATTTTTAGTCTACGCAATACATACATATCGTGCGAGTATGTCATACTGTATGTACTAGAATCAGTGGGCTTCCGTTTATATATGTTGTGTTATTCCGTAATCAATTGCATGCAATTAGAATAAAGTAACTAAATCATCAAGTAATGATCTTAATTAAAACTTTTACGATGTTGTTTACCATAATATGCTAGTGTTTATACGCGTTATGCTCATATACTAATTTTTATCAAATTAGTTCATTGTCGATACTGAAATTATAATAAATGTAATTTTTCTTCAAATTTTATGAAAAAAATCCAAGTTGTGGAAGGAATAACTTACATCCAGAATGGAATACCTGCCTATAGCGGAGATAATTTCCACCAGGTAACTAACGATCTTTCTGACATGCATGATACTGACTACACGGCACACGAATAATAGTTATAATCTACTGTACTGTACGTGAGAATGAATATCGCAGTTCCCGTGCCTTACCATATCACAAGGTATCTTGCAGTTATATAGTATAAAAATGATTAATTTCTATGAGTTGTAAATAATTCACTATTTATCAACCTGTGAATTACAATTATTGAGAAAACCATTATTTACCTTGGTATACACAACCATTTTATACCCAACGTGGCACTTTTTAGAAACTTATCGATATTTACTAAGATGACATACAATTTACGATAGCACGACATGGCGTAAATACGTTATATTGCGTTGAAAATACAATTCTAGAATAACTTGTTCGCTAACTGGCAATACTTGTCATATCTAAAATTTCAGACTCCGTTGGTTCTATCATTTTTCTACCTGCTACGAAACTCTCACGAGCAGCTCTTAAACCTGGTGTTTATAGTAAGCATACGTATTACAAACATGACTATTTGCAATTAATGAACGATATACGTAGGCCTTTTATTGCGGTGCTGCACCTACCTCCAATTTAGTATTAATTCATGCTAGATAGGATTGTATTGCATATAGTGACCTGATATACTCTATTTAAAACAGTATTGGATACCAAAATATGCTGCAAATGTAATAACATACCATTAATATGAATAACATTGTAGGATAGCCCTTTAAATAAGTTTAAATTTATTTTTATTAACTAAAGTAATAGCGTCTTACAATTTTTTGCAAGGTTTTTGATCTAGGAATCAGCTATAATCTGTATCATATCAGCAAACATACCCTTTCAGCAATTGTAAGATAATTATTCAATTTTTAATTTTTGATCGTTCATATGTATATAAAAATTGATATTATTATTCTGCTTGCATATTTTAAAAGTTTAAGAGAAAACCTTCAATTCAAGGGTATTACTTTATATTCACATTATATTCAAAATCCGAATTTTTTAAAGATCAGATAAAATCTTTTAACTGACATACGTCGCATAAAACAAACTCTTGCATCCAAAATGATGTAGAAATACATATCGAATCTATATCTTGCTAACTACTGCCGTAACCTATTTACTTAAATTAATCATCAACAACGGAATATACAGTTCAGTTATTACTTTCAATGTTCTTATATACTCTCTCTACAATTATAAATACAACGAAAAGATGTCCAAAAATATATCACCTCGTTTACATTCAGTATCTGAAATAAGGGAATATTTAGTCAATTTAAAAGATGATTGTATATTACCTACTAAAAATTAAATTACTAAGGTTCTGGTGGTACTATGTCTTTAAATACGTTTTACTAACGAATTTCAGACTTTATTCAGTATCTCAGTGTCCTTATTATGCCGTACTAATATTTGAACATTTTGATATTTACTAAAAATGGTACTTTCATTTGTATTACTGCATAAAATCTACATTAATTCACTTAATAATTTTCCTGCTTCTTTTGAGAACTTTTTAAGTCAGTTATTATGATTAATTTAATACTATTTAATCAGATTTCCAAGGAAGAAAAAATTAAAAGCAAAATTAGTAAAAGTTCGAACACCATTCTGGTTAATCAGAGCTCTATAATGGTTACGCCAACTCTTGTATCAATATTGTACGTAACAACATCCAATATAAAATTAACATCTTTAGTTTTATTGATAACTGGTAACTTAAAATTGTTAGGTTTACAAATATTAACAATTGTTGTAATATTTGTGCCGGAACTCTTGAAACATTTACAAATTTATTCATGTCTTTTTAGATATTTATTACATCCATTTTCCATACTGACATGCATAGCCAAATCAGTCATTATCATTAATAATTATGCAGTGACATTAGCTATCCTTCTAACCCTGAAACGTAAGTTATGATTTAGTATGACTTAAATAGTAAATTGCATTAATGACTGACAATACTATATCCATATTAAAATATAACTTGCCCTGCTTTATATAATGTTATTCTGTAGGTAAAGGTGTAGCGGCAATGCTTGCACTTGCTGCTGCTTCATATCAAAGTCTATATCCATTCATGTTGGTTATTCCTTTGTCGCTTCACTTATGCAGCGAAGCTAACGTTAGTAGAACTGTACAATATCTTATGAGCAAAAATTGTTTTACTAAGTTTAATTCCAATAGAATATACTAATTACAGATTTTATTACAGGATAACTATTCAATGAAACGAAGCCAGATTATCAAATTTATTAATTATGTGATATGCTTTTGCTTATGGTTTGTAATATTACTTGGAACATCATATATACTCCTTGGGTCTTGGGACTTTATGCGAGCGACATATGGATTTATGTTAGTTTAAAATTTTTATGTAGTTAATTTGGCTTATTTATTTACGATATATTATAATTCCTAGACTATCAGCTCCAGATATGGAACCGAACTTAGGACTCTTTTGGTATTTCTTCACCGAAATGTTTGATCATTTCAAACTATTTTTCCTCTTTGTCTTTCAAATAAACGCATTTTTCTATTTAGTGCCATTAACGTTTAGACTAAGGTGTGCAGCCAGCTGAATCAATCTCTAATGATATAGTTCTGTCTTGAAATGTTTCATCTTAGCTAATCAATTACACTTGGTTAGGTATGATCCAATCTTTCTTACGTATTTGACTTGCCTGCTGATAGCCGCATTTAAGTCTTATCCCTCCCTTGGAGATTTAACCTTCACTTTGGCGCTATTACCAGTTTGGTCTCATTTATTAAAATGTAACTTCTACTCGTATTACGTGACCTAGATTAAATAATCGTGATTAAACTACTCTCACTATCAGTGTTTCTCTTTCTGAACGAATAATCCTGCTTCATCCTCGACTACCAACTTAGATTGCCGTAACAGTTTCGTAATAGTAATTATGATCTTAAGCTCAACTGTTCTGGCTCCTATCCTATGGTATTTATGGATATATGCTGGAAGTGCAAATGCAAATTTTTTCTATGCTGTTACGCTAATGCATTCCACTGCTCAGGTAGATCTTTAACAATTGATACTATTTTTATGGAAAATTGCTAATCTAGATTACAATTATACGTACTTTTACTAGGTGTTCTTAGTAGCTGATCTTCTTTACAGCTACATCATTCGAGAGCATGATTTATATCACGGTACAGAGCGTGATTATTCATTGACAAAACCTTTGCTCAGTCAAATAGACTGAAGCTGAAGATTATGGAAAATTTTAGTATTCATATTTACTTTGGCTTGAAGCTACAATTCTTTTCTGTCTTAAGAAATAATATTTTGTATAATATATGATGTTTGTTGACCTCATTTTTTAGTATAGCAGTATTTAAAATTCATATTGGCTGAAAAATTGAATTACGATTATGAGAATGTTGCTACTAAGATTTCTGATGAATATATTCCAATTTTAATGACTAGCTAAATAAATTGATGCCACTTCGGTAAATCAGTCCATGGTCAGCCCTTGGGTAGATTCAGAGCAGTAATTCACAGCTACTGCAGTATACTCAAAGTGTAAAATAAAGTTGCAAAATGAAAATAGAAATACTGTACAGCACATAATGGACTACTAAATATCAGGTAATACTGTGTAGTGCGCATAATCGATCAGAGGACTGCTCATTGTGCTCAATCAATAACACATTCCCATCGAATTATATTTACTACAATTTAATAAATCTAGCCGCTACTACGAATTACTATCCCATTATCCGGTCGAATAAATCCGGGATTTATTTAGTAATCCATGACCCAACCGCCGATAGCGAGTTGAGTTATACAATGTTGTAGTTAAGAGACGAACCCAATCTTATGTAATAAAGTAAAGTTTACAAGAAACTGTAGTTCGTGTTGTATTTTTGAGAAGACACTTTATCACATATGTACAGTACAGTAGTTGATTACGATGCTGGTATGCAGTATAATTATATCATATTACTAGCGAAACCGTGGGAATTCCACAGAATATTTAATTAATAGCGCGATACAGCGTATGGCGAAAGTACTGTACAATCGCGTTATTAGAACTCCCTATTCTTCAGTCCGAAGAAGCAAACGTTTATTCCAGCTCCTTCGACTGGAGCTGCTGGCACTGAGCCGAACTAGTAACAAGGGGGAGGACTTTCTCTAGACACTTCTAGAAATCCCTGGAACAGAACAGTGCATACAGTACAGTACAGTACACGGTACTGTATTATTACAGTACAGTGTACTGTACTGTCAAGTCAGGGACTACTAAAGTACAGTACTGTACTGTACAGTGTACTTGAAAAACAGCAAAAATTATTTCGTAAAGGCTTGAAAGCGAATAAATACAGCGGATTTCCATTATTGTAAATGATAAATATATCGAAAGATTTGTTTTACGTGTATAACCAACTCTTAATCTTTCGTATTTTAATATAATGTAAATTGACTAGCAGATGATGTATGATGTATACACGGTATACAGAAAATGAAATGACTTTCCAAGATCTAGAGAGTATGGATTGGAGAACTTCTGATAATTAATTCGTCATTACTGTAGTAAGTATAAGGAACAATAATAACAGGAAGCTGTTGCTGGTGATACAAGCGAATCTAAGATGGATAAAAACAGAAAGCAATCTCTGGAAGCAGAAGCAAAATATCTAACTAGTAAGTACATAAGCCATACTAACTTCTACTTATACTTCGGTAGGCATTCAATGCTTGGATATCCTTATCCCTTTTATAGTACTACAGCACATGAATTTATTACGGTGGCTCACCATGACGTTATCTCGAATGTTAAACTTGTACTGTACGTGGAGTAATGGAATTACAAACTTTTTACACTTCTTTCCATTTCTTAATATAGATCTTATAACATCTTACAAGAACAAGCAGGTTAAACCATTAAGTAATCATTTCACGAAGCAGCCTTCGACCCACTATTTTAACAACAATCAGCGATCGAAATATAACGATACCATGATAAAGATAAAGAAATTATCGAACGTACAGTCTTTTCATCACGATTCGTCATCAGCGAATGTTAGCAAAATTCTCAATAGGTATAAAAAGTAACTGATACTATTTATCATGATACATTTGTTGCTTTTATCATGCCGGTTAATTAGTACCGTCTAAGATGCCAGCCGTCACCAACAAACAGTAATGTAACTGAACGAGAGTTGTGATAGCGTGTTTACGATAAAAATTGGATGTATTCTGAATTTTATTTCGTTGATCATGTTACGTATATCGGTCGTAACCAAAACGTTTTTACTGTGTACTTTTACAAAGATATTCGTGGAAGGCTACCAAAAATCAGGTTACTAAGCCCATCCCTCAAGCTAACATCCGTACTACTGATGACAGTAAGCAGAAATCTTTAGTTACTAAAAAGGATAACGTTACTGGAACTCGTATTTCATGGACAGATATCAAGAAATCAGATTTGAAAGTTAAGAAACAAGTCGAAAAACAACACGTCACCTTAAATCAGACACAGCTACAAAATGAAGGAATCAATAATGTAGCAGATACAACCAATTTAATATCAAGTAATCGAACCCCTACTTTATCTAGCAAAGAGGAACGGTTTAAATGGTTCAATAATACAGTCAAAAAACATCCTGACCCTTCTCTACGAGATAATAGTAAATTTTTACAGACTTCTAATTTAAATGTACCCTTTTCATCATTATCGACTACAACGGAGAAATATAATAATTACGTCAAGTGAGTGTCATTATCGATATTTTTAAAATCACGTTGATATCGTAGTAAACATGTCCTGAGTTGGTCATTGATCCTTATGTCTAGGCCTGATGCATTGCCTTGTCGATCACAACTTAAATGGTCTCGTAATGACAACTCCATGAACCCTACGTCATCAGTAATAACAAGAAAGAGTGGTATTATGAAATATTACTCTGCTAAAAAAGCAACAGTACGTACTTGAAAAAATGATTTTTCAAGTTTATCACTTCAGTACATTTATACATGATTAAACAACACTTTCATTAATCAAGTTACCTATATGCCTTTAGGATTACAAGCGATATATTTATTTAACGAATCGTTACAGAAAAAGAAAGCCACAAAGGTACATACTGAAAATCTTCTCATAGGATCAATTATATGGTCATTTAAACACGCTAAAATTTAATCTTATTTGCTTCATAAAATAGAATTTAATGTACTGCAAATTAATTTTGTAATTTCATCACGTGTAATATTCTATATAGCTTAAAATTATTAAAGCTTAAGAAATCCTGTATAAATCCAAATTACTTTTCCTTCCGAAAAAGTTTAAGGAGGTATGCTATTACCAAATAATTTCATTTGGACTTTCTAGAAGTATGATATACATATTTTTGATTTATATCTCGTGCCTTTTTAAGGACAAACCTTAGCAAACCTAGACGAAAAGTGAAAGTTACCTCGAAGGCAGTTTATACGAGACGAAAGGTAAATAAGAATGTTAAGGATATCTAGTTGATTTATCGCTATCAGTTAGACATACTATATCAATACTTATTAAATATTCTTCTATCGTCATCTCCATCTTCAAATCATAACTTTTTATCATTTGCAGGAACAACCCAGCTACAATTATTACAATCTAGATGGTGTTCTTTACAAATCAACGGGTACAAAATTAGTCTCCCGTTTATCAAGCGTCGCTAACAAAGATGCCATTGTCAATAAAAGGCATAAACTGATCAAACTCAGAAAAGGTATGAAACTCAGATATTAAATTTCATTGTGATGAACTATATATTAGTTGAAAGTAATAAAGATGATCTAACAAATTAAAATCATAACAGTCAATAAAACAGTGGCGAGAGAACCGGCCGTAACTCCTAAGAAAATAGTAAAATTTGGTGGTCTATTATCAAGAAAATATTTAGAAAAGTATTCCTCGAAAAAGTACAAGATTAATCATAAGATGTTAGTTATCACGAATTTATGCATCCGTACACTTCACGGCAACACGTACATAAAAAATTAGAATTATAGATTTGATTTATTAACATACATTTCTATTAGGTCCATACATCAGTCATTGGCAAGCAAGTCTGCAAATTCAATAAAAGATGCTAATCGGCAATATTGCCTATTTTATTGTCGCTATGGTAAATTGTATTGTTAATAATATTACACGTATAACTCCGTTAGCTTGATATGTATGGTGTGAAATTACCCGATACGTAGATTGATCAAATATTCGATAACAATTTCTTTAGGTAAATGTAACCGCGGAAATGAATGCCCTTATGTCCATGATCCTTCTAAAGTTGCAGTGTGTACAAGGTGCTTAAATAATGTAAAAATTGTTTTATCACGCTGATAACTTAAATATTATAAAATGATATCAAATCTTGTTCTGTTCATCAGATTCTTAAGAGGGATGTGTCACGCTGAAGATTGTCCGTTCTCTCATCAGATATCTACTGACAAAGTTAGGATAATCCTCAGTGATTCATATATTTTACAATAATTATAATTGTGAAATTAATAACGCAAAAACATTTTGATTGTTTTTAGATGCCAGTTTGTTCATTTTTTCTACGTGGCAACTGCACTAAGGATAATTGTCCTTTTTCTCATGTTCGTGTCGCAAAGAATGCAGATTTGTGTAAGAGCTTTCTACTTGGATACTGTCCAGATGGGGTTAAAGTATGAAGTGATTTTGAGCCAATTTTCTGTTTATTGTTAACAGTAAAAATTTAACAATTGATAAAAACTTTCAAAAAAGTCAGATTATGCTCAGATTATAACCTTCACCGTGTTATAGTGTAAAATGAGGCATGTAATAATTTGTCCGGAGTACTCTCGTAATGGGCAGTGTTCTAAAGGCCAAAACTGTCGCTTGCTCCATCGACGAATAAGGTTTTTACGAAAAAAAGGTGCGGCTATCCGACGCAATGTGTTCTTACCTTACTTTGATATATGTTATTAAGTGTTACTATGTGTTTAGGAATTGAGATTTCTGATGAAAAAACAAATAATACCCGGAATGAGAAGCAATTTCTTGCTAAAGAACCTGCTCCATTTAAAGTTATTCGTAAACAAATGGAACGGATAGATACAAATAATAAGAAAAAACAAGGTAAAATAATTACTTAAAGGTAATGTCTTACAGAAAATTGGTATAAAGATAACATACACTGGTACTTATATTTAAACCTTAGCGGAGGAATCGATTTTACAAAATTCACTTTATGCTGATAAGAAAGACGAAAGTGCTGGTAATGTAGCAACGATGATTGTTATCAATAATACTTATCATACATGTTGGGTTTACTTAATTTTATTAAGAGTACACCATGTATTAATGTACCAATCGTACAGTAGAACATGTAATAATATACTTTCCTGAATTTGATTCAGAAAGCATTGCACATTAAATATAAATACAATATGTATTTTAACTTCAGATTTTCCGATGTTGAAAGCTCCTAGATTTTTGCACCTGAATAGTAATAACGAGGTAACTGATAGTGAACCAACTTAAGAAAGTTTCTGCAAGTATTGTCAATATACGTATTTTATAAACCAAATATTTATGATAATCTAGTAGAAAGGTTTTTCAGAAAATGAGCTTATGCTATATTATCAACTAGAAATTTTTCACTTCAACTGAATATTTATATATTATTTGCGAATGTAATATGAACGGTAGGGTCATATATCGACTCTTGATGGCGATCAAAAGGCATATTAAATTTAAAAATATTAAGCTTTTATATTTCATAAATAACAATTGATCGGTAGTTATATTTAAACAGTACTGTTTTCAAGATTATTTGGGCATGAATCTTTTCTTAAGCGCCGTCATATGTTAGGGTTAAACCTGACTCCTCTTTATTAATAAATTCAAAGATGATTATAATCATATTGTAATTGTAGTAGAGATTTTAAAAGTTCATCCAAAGATGTTATGTATATTTACGATATTCCTATATATTGGTAATAAAATCTAGAAGTAAAATAGATTTACAAAATCAGAATATTAACTGAGGCGACCATTGGACGCAAATAGTATTTACGTTCTCTGATATCTCTAAATTACAATTTTAGAAAGTTACTTATCTAAATACATCTTCACTTGAAAATTAATTTACGCTATGTGAAAAAATTTCGTAAACTGTAAGTCAGTCTATGCTAAAATTATTATAACAGTAACGAAGATGACAAGTCGTTATTATTTAAAGAACAATCTCTATAAGATTACAAGATAAATAAAACGTACTCTATTGATGTGTCATATCGACTTCTTATCGTTTGTTTCCATGTTATTGAAGTAGAATTTATTCAGATACGTATCTTAGATGCCATTTTAATAAAATAAGATTTTAAACTTTTCAATTTACTTAACTTGATATCAAAGATGATAAGTCGTTAATTATTTAATGAAAAATCTCTATAAATTACAAGACATAATAAAAATGTACTCTATTGAGGTGTAATATCGATTTTTTATGGTTCGTTTTCATATTATTGAAGTAGGCTTTTTTATATATGTATGTTAGATGCCATTTTAATAAATAAAATAAAATTTTTAAACCCTTTAAGCTACCACTTGATATCACTGATATTTGCCATTATCTACGATTTCTTATAAATTACTTACTATATAATTAATTTAAAATATGCATATAGAACAATAAAAAAGTAAAACAGTAGATAAAAAATGAAATTAGCTGCTAACTAAGAATGGCTGAATTTTAAGCCAAAGATAAAAATTTCGTGTGCTTCTATGCGACCGATCAGACCATAATAGAGAACAGAAATGCAGTCTTGTCTTTACATCTAATTATTATGACTGAAAGACAGCAATACGTAATAATACTAAATGTATCAAGTAAAGGGAATTCCTTCAAGATATTCCACGTGATATTTCGTAAGTCTCGAAAACGATTTCTAAGCATAGATATTTCATAATTCTCAACGTTAGTTATATAAACCGCAGCATTATAAATGAATTTTACGAAGTATCCAAACACTAATTATAAAAAATAGGACAAAAATAAATTCTATCGTTTCCAACTCGTATTAATAACACGATATACAACGTATAATTTGAACTTATCTACTGCATGTACACGTGATATTAAAACAAGTCTCACACTTTATATATATTTTCTATCAGAAATGTAAATAAACGGTATCCTCATTTTATACTTAATTTAAGCACTTGTTGCTTCATGTACAACTGGCAAATGGCCTTGTTTACAGTAAATAAGTACGCGTATTAGCTTAAATTATCGTAATTATATGGTAGGCACATACATTATGATCACACTATATCGAAAAATCTTATCTATAACATTCATATAACAAATATAATATCAGAAATTAGTCACATAAACAATATAGACATTCTATCAAAATGTTATAACTCATTTATAGCTATACTCTTAGCGTTAGTCTTGTTACTAAAGTCCGGATTATCTTTTCCAATATTGTACATGTATGAAGATGCAGCAGTTCTAAACCTACCAAAGCTGTGCGGTTGTGATATAGTACTTGAACTTAAATTACTTTGAGATGATCTCGGCATTTGAGCACGTGGATGCAACATCTTTCGAGCTAAACGAGAGATGACCACGACAGTGATAAAGATGACAACTGAACATGGTAATATAACACTCAAGCAGAAAAGTTGCAATCTTGTCAAAGTTGAATGCTCTATAAACAAAAAGTTACAAAGACACACGCAAGTCAGTACATGAAATTTCTTATATGTATACGTTAATAAACTGTAAAATTGTATTATCACATGATAAAGCAGTCTACGTAGAAGTATTCTTTAAGAAGGATGTACTCCAACAAAGTTCACAAACTAATATGGGAAATAATAGAGTATTGAACTTCTACTATTTTAAGGTATATTATTTTAATTCCCTCATCAAATCAAGTAGAATATAGTATAAGTTCGTAGATTAAGGTAGTCGAATAAGAAAGATGACTATCATTCTAAATAATCTAATTCATAAAGTTAACATCCACGTATTTTCCTTTAGCCGATTTGTTAACAAAAATTAGAAGTCTTATTGATACGAAACAAATACTATCAGTGATATGAATTCTAATGTTTAAATATTATCGTATAAATCATTAATATAGATCAGATTATAATTTAGAGACCCTAGCACATTTATTATAAAACTATCACGCTATGAAAATCACCACAGCTAGATTAAAACAAATTTACTCTATTATTTTAAAATTTATATTATATTTACGTCATTATTCAATCAGTTGAGTTAGGTGTAGACGATACTGTTACGAGAATGGATAATACCATCATTTAAGACGTCTTTTACTACCCTTGGGCTAATTGGGGTCTGATAGGGATAATTTGGCAGTCGATGTCACATTTATAAAACTAAAAAGTCCAAACTATACTGAAGACTTACGTATATGAGTGCTTAATCCATTCGCTAATTAATTGATATCGAATGACATCGGAGTATACAAAGAAAAGTAGAATGAAAATAGGATTAGTAAGATTCGTGTTGCAACTATAATTATATTAATTTAAGTAAGACAACCATTATTCCTTAATTTAGATTTTACGATGGTGATAAAATTGTTAAAGAACATGGAATATTTTGAATAGTATCGCATCCTATCTGTCGAAGCGGTTATTGGTACAATAAATCAAGGCAATCCTTTGATAATCTAATCAATTACTAATATTAAATTAGTCGATCTCATTTTGCATAAGCTGAGCTACACTAGTTAAAGGTAGACTCCAAGAGCATATGCAAATTCTATCGAATACGATAAAATCAATTATAGTTAATAACTACATACAATTTTTGCAGCTCATACTTTACGGTAACAAAGTTGAAATAAAAAAGTATTTGCTAACTATTACTCTAAATATCAACGTTACTTGATATTATGGTGCAATTGGAATTGTTAGCAGGGTTGGCTTGAAGTGGCACATTATGGCAGAATACATCAGGACCAGCAACAGATCGTTCAGAATCTGAGTATTTACTTAGAATGGCAGTGATTTCCTGTTGGCTGATATTGAATCCACATGAATTGGCATATAATAAGTAACAGCTACTATTGCATAAAGGCATAGGCTGTGGCTGCAGTAATGTCCAGCTATCGCAGTATGGATAAAAGAAACTGCACATTAGCTTCTTAACTAATTGATTGCAGTCGTCTCGATGATCATAGTTAGCCCGATATTTGTACCAAGTAAGAATATCTAAAATAATTTGATCAATGGTCCACTGTCGGGCCCAGTTACTACTTCGATAATGTAGAGAATCATTCATAAATGTATCTCGGCATACGGAGCCACTATAATTGAAACAGCACGAGGGTTGTGGAGGAAACTTGAAATTTCTGCGAAATAAGGGAAGCACAAAATTATGTTTACCGACAGTTGATATATGGTATTGCTACTAGCTTCAACATTTAATTTTCCGAGAATCAACTGATTTTCCATTTAATATTTGATATACAATCTGCACATTATGAAAGCACTATAGCGAAATTGGGTCATTTCTGAAACTAATGGCGCCCTGTAATAAGATAATACTGCAAGGTAGGCGAATGATAAGTACCGTATACTAGCAAACTTATCGCCCTTACAGAAAAAATTAAATAAAATAGACACTCATAAGATAAATGCATAAATTGCCATTAGCATATGAAACAAGTCTACGGAGTACTACCGTGTAATCTTGTTGTGGTAGTAAATTTGAGCTTCTATTCATAACGATAACGCTCAATGTATGTAGACACAGGATAATTTAAATTCTTTCAATCAATGCTTGAAAATTCGAGGTTCGGGTAAAAAATGGATTATATTTAATTTCTATGAGACTAAATTTTAACGAATGTCTATTTTAAGTTTATTTCTTTATATAGTGTAGTGCATGGTCTAATTAAATTTAATGAGACAAGTTCCCTGATTATCGTAAGGTTAATTCCGTAGACAATTTTCGAAATCTAAAGCTAAGTAAATGACAAGGTATAATATCAAGCAGTTAGTGTCATGTTTTGTGTTCTATTCATATAACCCATTATTTTAAATTAAACCCGTATTGAATTATTATAGCAATATTTTTAAGGTCAAGGCAGACTTACATTATTTGAAACGTTTCTTTTCCTAACTATTCTTTTTCAATAATTATAATAAATGTTTTGCTCCATTTTGGCGTTTTTGATAAAGCTAGTTGCTTCTTGATAGTATTTGTACAAGATTATACTATATTATGATTATCTTTTCTGTTAAAAGAGTTATATCATCTTTAATCTTCAATTGTGGAAATGATACATGCAAGTATATATACATAGTATATTCAAGTATATATCGGATTACTTAAATATTTCTTTTAATTAAGAAAGAACATTTTAGAATTATAATTTTCGTAGATGATGTCATTAAAAGATAGTCATTATTAGTTATTATTTTGCTAGCAACATGGTTTCAAGTATCATTTACATTTTCCAATATCATATTTAGCTAATAAGCATAATAAATCTAATGTTACTGTACATAAAAGTTAACTTACGTGCACGCATGTTCATCATCAAGATGTTGCATTCCTTTATTGCTATGCCATACTCTACTAGTTATTTCAGACTGAGATAATGCAATAGGCAGTTGATCTAGAAAAAGAGTAAAAAAGGTTTAAAAATGTGACGACTCAACTATAGCTCTAGTTTCGTGTTATAGTAGGGTAATTATCG